GTCCTGGTCTAACCAGCTTTTCCTTCTGCTCTCTTTTCTTTGTTTATCTACCTCCCCATTTTCTCCTATGATAGGATTTAGTAAATGGGTACTCTGTGGTTGACAGACTACTGAAGGAAGTTGCTAAAGTCCCAAGGTTTATAGTCCACAGCATGAGTGACACAGGAAGATGCTGACTGCATAGAAGAGAGAGCCCCAGTGTCCACCGCAAAAGTGCTGTAGCTGAAGGGAACCCCTTGAATTAATACTGTTGGATTTGGACTTCCTAGTACATCCTGACAGGCTGAACCAAAGAAATATGTAGCCAGGAGCTCTGAACAGATACTTGAGATCTTTCAGTAGTAAGTAACTGAATGTTCTTACTTGAAATCCCTGTTAGATGTAGCTGAGGCAGCGGGAAAGATGATCCTTCAACTGTCCGTCTCACCTGCGGACATTAACAGGTCCTCGAGAGAGGAAGGGAACAGTAGTGCCCCCAACCCCAACAGCTCATAACAGAAATTTAAACTGACTGAGCTCTGTCTGTTTTCATCTCACAGGGGCTCTGACCCATCGTGGCTGTGGAGCAAGCACAACGGCTGACCTGCGGCTCCAGAGGGGACGACAGCTGGGGGTATTCTCGGATTCTAACCTGTGTAGCTGCTTCTGCTGACCCCGTCCAGCAGGGACTGAGCATCAGTCCTGGACAAAGAGCCGGTCTTGTGCCACTGGAAAGCAACCGAGCTGAACTCCATGTCAAAACTCCCCTTGGCTTAAATAGGTCAGGTGTCTTTGCTAGTTTTCTTGAATACTGCCAGGATTTTGATCAGGGGTGGGAAGGAAGAGAGATTAGAATACACTTTCTGCTGAGAAATGGTACCATTGAGACTGAGTTTCACAATGGCTTTTTCCTCATATTTATTCAGAAATCTTCAAAGCGCTTTATAGTAATTGTCTTCTCTCCTGCACAGCTCATGCTAATGACCTGTGCAAAACTTTACACAACACTGCTGTATGTTAAACCTGGGATTTCTGGGCTGGGCAAAGATGGCCAGGCCTAACGGCAAGACTTCTCATGAAAAACAGTCTACCTCTCTGCATTTCACATCTTAATGAGAAATCGCCCAGGATTAACCTCATTTGCCAGTGGAGACGTTGCTACAGATGAAGCAGATGCAGAGATGGTGATTTGATTTTACTTTTCCAGAACTTTGAAGCAAATGCAAAGTGGACAATTTAATGGCCTGCATAATATAAAGAAATGTGTATCCATCCATCCTCCCCTCGATTAAAAAACAGAAAGCTCAGACTGGTCATGTGAGATTTACCTGGAAATGAACTAGAAGGATTTCCAAGGACAGCCAGGGTCCTAGTTCAGCCTGTTCACCAAGTGAAACACAGCAGGGAAGGAAAGGGGAAAGAGCTCCTCAGCTTCGGATACTGCCTGCCCTCCCCAAAGCCCGTTGGATGATGGGAGGGTCCAATTTGGCTGCTGGCAGATACAACGTACCTTGCCTCCCCTTCCCAGCAAGGTTTGCCCTTCCTCACTAGTCATTTGCCCTGTGTTGAGAAGGGAGGTGCGGTACCCCCAGGCGCAGAAATCTATGCCCCTGGAAGGGGAGCGAGGATTCATCTCCATGAAGCAATCCCTCCCAGGAGTCTCTTGGGGCAGCCCTTGATGACTGCCCCACATTCAGGACACTGAGCAAAGACCAAGTTATTCTTGGGAAAACTCTAAGAAGCATTTACAGCTTCACCCGCCAAAGCCTACACACTTCCATGAGCAGCTGCGACTGCTGCCAAACCCTGTCCTACAAGTCCACCTCTCCCAAAAGGTGGTGTGCCATGGCTAGCATGACAACATTCACTGTCTGCGACTGTCTTATTGCAAAGGAGTAAATTCCTTAATATTTTCACTGGCAGTCTTTTATTGGTATTATTCTTCCTTAGAACTTCAGATGTTGCAAAGAAGTCAAATATAGATACTAAAAATACTATCTATCTTGCTAATACAGTTTAAGCAAAAAAAGAAATAGATCACTCAGAAAAGGCCAGGCTAATAGCCTTAGCAAAGTTAGAGTAAAGAAGTGGTTAAGGATCTAGATGATTTAATCCAGTTTTAAGAAAAGGTTTTACAGTGAGCAATTAGATGCTGTTTAAGGAATTAATCACTAATGGGTCATTAACTCTGACTGCTATTGTACAGTTAACAAGCCGAGGCAGGATTATTAGACTCAGCACCCAATTAAGAAGGAGAAGATATTTACAACAAAATGAACAAATGAGCTTTTAAAATGGAATGGGACAATTTGAAAGAAAGTGTAGGAACACAGAAAACTAGACAGGGTACAAGAAAGATATGAGTTTGCATATGCCTCTGTCCCTTTATTCGTTTGAAAAATATTTACCTGTCTGTGCCCACTTATGTTTAGCTAGTTAAAATATTTATCTTTAGCAAAAAACTCATAGCTTTCCTTGAAGAACATGACTGCACACAGTTTATCCATTACAGGATTCACATGTACAACATATAACAGAAGACCTGCTTAATACATCAGTAAAAGAGCAATCACCATAGCTTGACATAATCTTTCATTTTTTACTTGCAGGTGCTGGATCAGGAGCTTAATAAAAGTGAACATGTGTCTGCAGCTGCTATTGCTGCTGTCCTGTCACTACTGCTAGTCTTCGACTACCTCAAGGAACCAAGTGTCAGTGCTGGTTACAGCGCTGGTCAAAAAGTCAGGGGGGTCTTTCCAGTGGCTTTACAGGACACAGAAGAACTGGAGGCAACAGGGAGGGTGGTAGAGTCAAAATATGGAGGAGCACCACTGAGATCTTGGGAGTTGCTTGTTAATCATGAGCAATAAGCACAGGTAAGAGCTTTTGGGCAGCAGTTAAATGTGTTCACATGCAGGAGGGTTTTCAGCATCAGAGCCGCAGCTGGACTGCAGCCAAGTAGTGGCAAGTGAGGTTGCTCCTGCTCCTGCCCCTGAGGA